TTTTTTTTCTTTACTCCTAAGCATAAGTTAGACAAACTCATTATTTGTGTTCTATATAAGATGTTGATGTAAAGGTTTAATTTGCCTAGCATATATATATAATATACACACATGGGGAAAAGGGAAAATATAACATTAGTTTTTGTCAATCAAATTTCTAAAAAACTAAGAGAAAAAAAAATGTCAAGACTGTTATTTCATTAAAGCAACATGGGAAAAAATCAAAACAAACTCATTTTTAGTTTAAAAATAGGTTAATTTTAGTTGTTTTTAATGAGAATTTATTAAAATAATGTAGTTTTATGAAAATTTTTCTCCCAATTTTTTAAAGTTATGCCTGACAAATACTTTTCCCCTTTATATATATGGTTGGTCCTTTTCTATCAAGCGAAGCTTTTGGAGGAATATATATATATATATATATAGAGTTTTCTATCATGTGAAGCTTTTGGAGGAATATATATATAAAGAGAGAGAGAGAAGGGATTTATTTATACACAAATCTTATGCATTACACTTGTACAAAATTTTAATTATTTATTTCTTTATTTTCAATGGTTAAGATTTATAATGATTTTTTAGATAAAAAAATAATAATTGTTTTTAATAAATGTAAACAAATTTTAACTATTGAAAGTAATTAAACGATAAATAGTTGAGATTTTGTGTAAATATAATGTGTAAGATTTGTATATAATTTGATCCCTACTTACACATACACACTCATGTGTGAGTAGGGATTTATTTACACATAAATCTTACACATATACTTATATAAAACCTTAATCATTCATCTCATTACTTTCAATGATTGAGATTTATTTACATTTTTTAAAGATAATTATTTTTTCACTTAAAAAATATGAAAAATTTTAATAATTGAAAGTGGAGAGATAAATAATTGATATATTATGTAACTGTGGTATGTAAAACTTATTTTTTTTAACAACAAAAAATAATATTTATTGAAAAACAGAGTACAAGGGGTATCCCAAACCCATAAATATCCCAACATGAAGTGATGAATTTACATAGTCAAATAGCCCTTCCGTTGGGTGTGTAAAACTTGTGTATATATAAAGGACAATTATACATACACCCAAAAAAATCAACACTCATCTTAACACCCAAGGCTAAAATGAAGAGGGATAAATTTGTAATTTAACTGTTCATAAGCCTTAGGTATTGATTTTTTGAGTGTATGTATAATTGTCCATAAATAAATTGTCCATAAATAAATTCTCCTCGTGTGTGTGTATATATATATATATATGAAACTCATAAATTTTTAATTTGAAATTGGTTATATAATTTGTGTTCCTTGTTATAAAATGAATGAGAGTATAAACTATTAATCCGTCATGCTTATCAGTTAGTGTGTTTCTTTATCTTCCCTTGTTTTCAAGAAACCCTTGTATAACTGCTCTTTTCAGCTTAAGTAGTTAGTTGTACCTATTATTGCAGACAAACTCATTGGGAAAAGCAAAACGCTCAACAATAGTTAACGAGAGTAGTTATGATTATGAATGCATTTCCATCAAAGGAATTCCGTGTGAGAGACCGACACAGAGAGTCTACATATCTATCTTTCTTTTACATTCTTTTCCTCCCATGTATGAAACATTGAGGTACTAGTCATTGAATGGAAGCGCCTTCCTAATCCAAGACTATGGCAAAATACCTTTTTAAAAATGAAAACTCTTGTAGTCTCATAATAAAATTTAGGGTTTTTTTAACATACCATTAGAGCAAAAGTTAAATGTATAATTACTGTACTTTTTTATATTGATTAATATTGAAAAAATAAAAATTGACATTTATTCAAACAATTGTTTAATTAAAATAGTACATGTGACACCGGTAATAAAATTAATAACAATTTTTGTATTTTTCAATTGTAATTAATTTGAAAATGGTATAATAATTATTCTCTTAATTTGTCCAGGCACAAGTTAGAAAAACCCTAAAATTTGTTTTGGATTTGATGAAAAATTTTAATAGAAAAATTATTGATACACACTTAATTCAATACACTTTTTGACACTCATCTAAATTTAGTTACAAAATATAATATAAATATAATTAATTTAGTTAATTTTTATATTTGTATGCATAACTGCCTTTAAGTTTATTTTCTTTTGATTTTATACCAGAAAATGATAAATTTTTAATGAATGTATTGTGATATATTGAATCAAAGCATATACCAATCAATATGATTCATTTTAATAAGATGAAAAGTAAAAAAAAAAAAGAAAAGTTTATCTAGAAGTCCATAATTAAGGGTTATTCATATAGAAATACAAATGCAGTTAATTACATATATCAGAAAAAAGATTAATTGCCCAGTACTGCAAGACATTAATTTAGCATACTCTAAACTCAAGATCCCAATTAATCCCTGAATTTATATGATACTAATTAATTAGGGATCATAAAATTGATATTAAATTAATTAGTCACTCGATGACCAAAAAAGGGTTTAAAAGTCATCCAAATTGTGAATTCCTTCCTTGTGCCCCGGCATTCATCATAGGGTTCATCCTCTCCGTTAGCGGCGTCCTTCTTGGCGACGGCCTTTCCAGCTTTGGCGATGCCTCGAATTTCTTCTGATCATTCATAGCATCCCCGGAGAGCACCGGCTTTGCTTCATAAATCTCCGGCATGGGATCAAGCTCGTGAGTGCTGGAAGGCGGTGCAATTTGAATATGATCTCCTTTGAAAGCATCATTGTCTTGAGGTCCAAGACACGAAGTCGGTGCCATTCCTAGATCTTGCAGGCGGAGCTCATCGGACCAGATCAAAGGACTTTTCCCGCTGCCACCGTAAGGGTTAGGCCTCTTCTTTCCCAGACAAATACTATCGTTATTTTGCATGAAGCTATCAAGCAACGGTCTGTCCATATTGTTCTGGTGAAGTTCAATTTGGTCGTTTCCATAGAGATTGAGGTCTTGAAATGGCGGAAAGCTGAGAGCAGGTCCGAAATCTTTCATCACTCCCATGTCGGGAACTCCTTGATTTCCGATGGGCTTGTAGCTTCCAGACGCGATGTTTTCACCGGTTAGGGTTTGGCAGGCTTTTTCTAGAATGGTCTGCATATATTTTCCCTGAGCTTCAATCCTCAACTGAAGGTGTCTTTGCACCTGCCATGCATGATAATTCCATATGATATTGGCCATGTTTATTTATCCAAAACATTAATCAACAATTCTATATCCTTTTGCAAGATCTGCATGTAAGTTTAATTTTTTTTTTTTTTTTTTCTTTTCCTCGGCAAGGAAGTTAATATTACTCAACTATTGCAGAGTTTTTTGCACGTACCTCCAATTGTTCATGCAGTCTTCTATGTACCTCCATTTGCATCCTAATTGCATCAACCATGAGTTAGTACTGTTTATAAACATCTTATAATACAAACCCGGCCTCAAAAATTAGTACATCTGAGTAATTAATACAACATACTCATTCATGTTGCGGCTCATCATGCCAGATGTAGATGCAGAGGTTCGTTGAAGATCAAGGCCAGAAGCTACAGTGAAATTTGGGAAAGGGAAAAAAAAATGAAGAAATTAAGTGCTTTGGACATATAAGAGTGTTCTAAAGTAGAAATAACAAAGAAACCCTTGAAAGAAGAGTCCACCGTCCACTTCAATCTTACCATCCTTTATGGAGTGATCATTGAATTCCTTGTGAGGTTGCTTTCCAAGCCGGAATTTCTGATCAAGGTAGAAGGAAGATTACAATCAAAAGAAACAAAAAGGAAAAGGGAAACACAAGAAAGTAAGCCAGCCCTAGAAAAGCTAAAGAAAGCAAGAAGAGATCATATGTTATGTTCAAACCTGAAGATGGCTCTTGAGGTGGTAAAGGGTAAGTCCCTTCACACCCATAACCCTCATGATTGTCTTTGGCGTTGCCTCTACAACCATGAAGAATTCATTTCTATATGAGAAAACCATATATAAGAAATGAAATTGAAGGATAAAGGCAGCGATTAAAGAGGAAGATTAAAGTACTGTCTGGTCCTCCGAGCTGAGTAACAGCATCGACAAAACGTTCATGAAGCTCGACTGTCCAACGAAGACGAGGCTTGGGGTCTGTGGTGAGAACAAGACCGGAGTCCCCTTGAATACACATGGATCTATCGTGGGAATTCATAGTTGAGGGCTTCTTGGAATGGAACATTCTTTCTCTCTCTTTCTCTCTCTAAAAATTGCGGTGTGGGGAGAGAATACGAAGGAGATTCAAGAACAAATGCGGTGTAAATAGAGAAGAAAAGAATAGGGTTCGTTTTTGAAGAAGAGGAGAGGGAGAAGGGTTTCAACTACAAAAGACCATGGGACAAGTTTTCCCTTCATAAAAGGAAAAAATATATATATAAAAAAAGAAAGAAAATAAAGCTAGCTCCATACCCAATTCTAATATTCGGCCCAAACTTTGCCAAAAGATACTATCTTCCTTTCTTTCTTTCTCATGGGAGTATGTGTGTACTTTAATACATTAACACTGACGTACATCTGATCGATTAATTACAAAAATGCTGCCAGTTTAAATACATTTTTACAAAGTAAGAGGGAAACTACCAAAGGCATAATAGACTAGTTTGGTAAGGATATTTGCTTTCTAATGACTAGTGTTTAAATTTTTTTAAAAGACTAATTAAAAAATAATTTTTTATGAATTTAATTTTTTTGTTAATTTTAGTGTGAATAATTTGTGTCTAATTGAATTAAGAGATAGACTTACCATAACACGAAAAAATTAAACCAATGATCCTACTTATCCCCATAAAAACTTGGAAGAGATAAAGGCTCCATAATGTAGGGGTACATAATTATAATGTCTGAGAGGAGTATCTTTTGGCGTAGCGAGAGGAGTATCTTTTGGCGTACCAAAAGGAAGAGTATATCTTTGTAGCGTTTATTCTTCTAGGAAGCTTTTTTTTTAGTATAAGGATATGAGAGTGACCCATGGCCCTCATGCAATCATGATGGGGGCAATATGTGCTACACTTTAGACTTTAGCCTTCTTTTATCAACCCATCAATCTCCCTTGCACATGTCATTAAGCGTCCATTATGTATACTATATATATGAAAGACCAATCATTAATTATTTGGGTTTTAGTGCATGTTAGTTATACCCCTTTTTAGCTCATACTAAACAAACTGATAAATCAATCAATGGTTTGAACTTTGAAGCTTCCTTTGTCATTACCAAGAAAAAAGGTTGTCATCAGAACTTTACTGCAGGAAAATTTATGGATTGATTAAGAGATTCTTTGTTGTAATCGGATAAATTAGATTCATGAGTGAAATACGTACATCGTTCGGTGCACGGATTATGGGTAATTAACTATCAAATTTGGATATCACTGCTTTTGCTTTTCTCTTTGATGCTTTTGCCCTTATTATCTTCGTATCACCACGTTAAATATGTAAACTTAATTTCAACTTTTATAATAAAAGATTTTGTTTTAGAATTTAAAGCAAAAAAAAGTGTTTAAATACTAATTAGATATATAACTTAACTTCAGTTCCTACAAAAAAAAAAAAAAAAAAAAGATCATTTCAAAATTTAAAGCGAAAAATGTTTTTAAGTACTAATGAGAAGATATAATTTCTTTCATTAATCTGTGTTATCTATTGATTGTGTCAACTAACAAATTGGAAAAGAAGACTTGACTTTTATTTTGTACTTCCCGAAACTAACTTTCAAAATTCGAACCCTTTGCTTTAGAAATTTGTTGTCTTCCATTAAAGGAGGTAGAGGTGCAGTGTGCACTACGATGTTCATGCATCTTTTTAACCTCGTCAACGGCATGTCACAGAGCCAGACAATGTGTGATATGTATGGGATCCACAATCGGACAGTATCCTAAGCACATATTCATGATCAATCTCTGATAATTACAAGTACTAAGAAAACATATATAGTTCAGATAAATTAAGTTAGAAAATAAGATAACCAAACATTAAAATTCAACATTGAAAGCAAGTGCTTTAGGATTCTTAATTTCGTTGGTGTTGATGTGAGGACGTGAACATCAATGCATAAAAGAGAAGGCGTAGGGGACCCTTTTCTCTTGTTCTAAAGCTTGATGGGGATCAATCTCTGTACCACTTTTGTGGAATTGAAGATTGTCCTCCATGCATTTCTATTCTCATCCAAACCAAGTGAAACAACTTACGCTTGAATGGGGTCGAACCCATAAATTGCACGTACGACCCCACTCTTGGTAGAAAAGAAGTAAATCAAAGATGATATGAACAAACATAAAGAAAGAACATATATAAAGCCAATGCAAAGATGTCAAATAAATACGGTGGGAAGATGAAAATTTTAAAGGGGAATACCGCATGCATCCTGTTTAGTGCAAACGGGAATAAATGCTTTTCTTCTTTAGCAATCAAAGGAAAAGATTCTTAAAACTAGAAATAATCTGGAACTTCAGTGAAGTCATACCAATCTTCTAAATGAACGTATATCCATTACGAAAAAGTATTTTACACCGGACTGCAAAACATAGATCATCAAATGAGGCCCTAAATGCAGGGTAAGCCTCCATATGATGATCTATGTTTTGCAGTTTGGGGCCTTTGGGCAGCAAAACACTGGCCTCCATCCATTGTGGGTGTGATATAAAATTTTAGGTTATTAAACTAAGTAGATATGGTGCCCATAAAAAATACACTAAGCAGATATGGCATTAATTTAAACGTAATCACACCAAGTAGATTGACTGGCCCCCAAACAACATAGTTTTAATTATGAAACCCATAATGAATGTCAATATCAACAAATGCATGAATGCTGAGTGGATCATATTAAACTGATTTGAATAATAATACAGCAGTCTGTGTGATTTGGACCCTAAAGTCCCACCATATCTTTGCATATTATATCTTTACTGCTTTATTTTTTTGGCACCTCTCTGTCTATATGCAAGAAAAGAAAGTATTTTAATTGGGTTTGGAGATTCCTCTAAGGACTACAATTGCTGTCCCTTCATAACAAAATGAAGCAAGGCTAGGGTTTAAGTTCTAGGTCATTGTGTTTCAAAATTCATAAACAAGTGGAAAAGTTGATTGGCTTAGTCTTAAGGCCATGTTTGCTTGAATTTTAAGCATCTTTGTGTGCCCTAGGGAATTTATTCTTTGAAATGAATATATTCCTTATGGAAGGCAAATTAAAATTGTAAAGTAGAACACTTTACAAAGCTTCTCTCTTTTTAAATCTAGCTAGTTCCTAACTTCCTCTCTGGAACATGATCGATGCCGCAAAATCTCCAACCTTAATAGACTGCTATATCCAGAGTTAACTTAATTGCACGTTTACACTTCATGTCCCCTTTGCTATGAAAGAAAAACCCTTAATGATACTTTTATTGGTCTAAAAGTATTTTTATTTACAACAGATACTAGGTAGTTAACGAATTATGTTATCAATTCATCTACCTTTTTTTGGTTAATCACCCATTTCTTCCTTACTACACTAAGTTGAATCTAGAATTTTGATAAATTTTCAAAGAATGAAGTTCATTTATAGGTTGGATAAGAGATTTTAGATAAATTTGACTCAACAGTTTGGGACCATTTAAATGTTGGGGAAGACTATGCAATTCAAAAGAAAGAAGCATACGTGTAAAAAATGCTGAATCTGAGGTTCAATGATCATGATATAATAGTCTTGCAGATAAGCAGGTGCATTGACTAAGAATTAGATCAAAGTCTATGCAGAATATAAATGGCTTATGTCTTATTCATGTCATGTGCAAACCAATTTAAACTAAAATTCATGCAACGTAACTCATATTTATAGAACTAGCGGAATTGGGGGTAAGGGAAGGGAAAAGGGGGAAGGGGGATTGAACCCGTATGGTGTGGGTGCACCCACACAATGATCACAGAGTCACATATCACGATTCTAGTTTAACTCTTATATTCATCCCAAAGAAAAAACAAGAAAAGAAGATCCATTTCTAATGAAGAGCCAGGAGCATAATAATCTTATTTATCCCCAAGCATTTATTAAAGTTGTACCTTCTATTTCACGTCAAAATCATTCAATAATTTACAGTCATTAAGGGGTTGATCGAAATCAATGGAAATTCCCTTGTAATATCTGTTGAGTTCAGCTACAAAACAGGGACCCTTGGACAGGGGGACAGCCCCAATATCAGAGGGTCCGCTCCTATTCCATGGTAAATGTTGATTGCACGACACTTCTTTGTTATCTATTTTATATATAAAAAATTACTTTTCCTTTTGTTTTTTTTTTTTTTTTATAATTTCACATGCTTATTATTGGGATTAGGACTCAGTTAAGGGGCGAAAAAAGCCCAGCATATTGTTATGGGTCAGAGGCCTAGAATGAAGGAAAAACGAGGCCTATTTCAGGCATTTATTGTTTGGGAAAGCACTCTAGAGAGGGCACACAAACATGAAATTACGGCAGAAAAAGTGGGCATACTAGGACGAGTTTTACAGCACACAACATTCAGAACAGCCATGAGTTCCGCTTACAGTTAACTTGCATTTATTTACAGACCGCACAATCCAACAAGCCACGTTCAAGCATTTATTTAGAGACTGCACACTCCAAAAAGCCACCTTCAAAACTACGTGTGAACAACTGCGACATACCTGTATTCATGAAAAGAGCATTTTTAGCACTACAAAACACAAGTCAAATAAATACTATATGCAATTATATATCTAAGCACATACCTTAAGCATCATTTTCGGTTCATATCTCCAAAGCATACGTATTTGAGCTGCATGGAATGAAAGAGATTGTTTTAAAATGACAGCAAAAATGTTAAAAGTGAAAAACTGGAAGCCATTATACTCACTTCCAGATATTCATCAATCCCATACTTGGAGCCTTCTCGTCCAAGGCCAGACTGTTTGACACCGCCAAATGGAGCTACCTGAATTCAAAGAAACAAATTAAGAGGCAAGTTTATCAATTTATTCTATCTGTTCAACGATGAAGAATAAGACACACCTCTGTTGAGATAAGTCCTTCATTAACACCAACAAGGCCATACTCAAGAGCTTCAGAGACGCGCCATGTGCGTTGAACATTGTTTGTGAAAATGTAAGCAGCTAACCCTGCATATACGTTTAGGAAACCTCTTTCTCAGGTTACTGTCAGGAAAGTAGCACTAGCATGTGATAAATGGTAGACAAATGCAGTAATTGATAAATAGCAAATGTTATAAAAGATGTGCTCAAATAAATGAATCTTGACGACCACTCAGATAAATTTCATAGATAAATTTCATAAATATAATAAGGGTTTTTCTAACCTCTACCCTTAAGGCACAAATTAAGGGTGTAATAAATACACTTTTTCATCATAAATTTATATTGAAAAAACAAAATTTGATCTTTAATTGATCAATTGTTCAATTAAATTCATCCACTTGACACTAACACTAAAATTAAGGTCAGCTTTTACATTTTTCTATATGTATTTATGACAAAAAGGTGCCCTTAACCTTTAGGGCACAGGTTAGAAAAACCCATATAATAATAAATTTTAGTAACTACAAAGGCATGGTTTATGCAAGCGTCAATATCAAACAAGAAATCAGGCCTGAAGGATTTAACCTGCATTTGTATCATTTGCAATGCGGATAGCTTCCTCCTCAGTTTTGAATTGTAAGAGAGGTGCCACAGGTCCAAACACTTCCTCTCTAGCATAAGACAAACACACGTCAATTCACAAATCTAAACATTTTAAATTGATGATGTGACGGGTAAATATTTGCAGCCTGAGGAACTGAAATTTTCCTTGAAATTACTAAAGTTGATGATGATAATAGATATTAGGACCTGGCTACAACAATATACCAGCCAAGGGACATTGAGAGATCAAACTCTAGAACAGTATGTACTCTTCAGTGGATGAATGAGAGTAGCTCCAATCATCTCACGAGTAGTGAATTCAGTGATGAATATGAAGCACAAGCAAAGATTTGAATACTTACTTTGCTAAAAGCATCTCATTCTTGACATCTGAAACCACCGTAGGCTCGTAGAAAGTCAATCCAAGGCTATGTCTTTTACCCCCAAGAAGAACTTTCGCTCCCTTCAGATAAATAACAATCAATCAGGATGTAGACAGCATTAACATGAAAAAAGAATTTTATTCTCTGCCAGCAGCATTTCCTAGCTTGCAGCAGTGACAACTCCTAGCAATCGTTACCAAAACAAGCACGGGAATGGGAACCATCAGGGAGTAGTAGGTTTCACAATCATTTAGATACAATTGATGTTACAATTATTTTTGACAGTACCAAACACCCAAAATGAAAATCTGGACTTGTCATTCCTAATGTTTTGCAGGAAAGATACCTTTGAGATAGCATCTTGAACAAAAGATTCAACCTGTAAGAAAAAATTTCCAGAGCAAAATATGAAAAATCACAAAGCCACTCAGAATGGGAGAATTAGAAACATACTACTTCATTAAAACTGGAGAAACTGGATTCAAGTCAAACCTTTTTCACAGCAGCTTCATTAATTAGTGGCCCCTGCAAGGAAATTTACGGTGGCTTAAAACCTGTTGTTTATACTAATTACTTGTTTTAATGGCAAAGAATAAGGTGGCAGCAACATAGTAGCATGGTAAGACAACTAACAGTAACTGCAATCTGTACAACTGTTAACCAAATTCACCTATATGTTTTCTGCAAATGCTTATGAAAATTTATGAGTTAGAAACATAGAAAATATGGAGAAGCTACAAACAGATGGAAAGGTCAATAAGGCACTAACAATAACAACATGCCCTAAATGAACAAGTATCTACCTGGACAACACCTTCAGTAAACCCATCCCCAACTTGCAGATTTTGGACAGCTTTCAAAAAAGCATCTGCAAATTTCTCATAAATACCTGCAAGAAAGGCATGGTAAATCCACAGAAAGAGACCAACTAATGCCTGATATTGTAGGAATGAGGTTCTTAAGGAAGAGAGAAAGACAACTGAACCACTTAAGAATTGCATAACAAAGCCCTGCTTAGTGATAATGCTTGCATAAACCTAGAATTGGGAGCATGGCATGTAGAACCAATTTGAGTACTAATATATTCTTACTCTAGGCCAAATTATTAATTTGCTATCATGTCACTTTTTATCAATCAGCATTAAACATCCACCACACTCATGACCATCATGCACTGCACCCATTGCAGCTACATCATAATCGTATGGCAATATATTTCCATCCATACCCTCTTGGACAAGTATTCTATTTGCACAAACACAAGTCTGTCCACTGTTACGAAACTTTGCTGCAAGCTGCAAGGACAAGTTGCATGGTTGAGTTAACAATACCCCAAAGTAAAGTATATTATTGAACCATGAATGCAGAGTAAAAAATATCATTGGAAAAACTAGAAATGTCCACATTCATAACCTATATTAATGTATCTATCAATTTGGAATTGTCTGAGAAACTCAAAAGTAACAATATTTGTATTGTAGAAACACTTGTGCATAAAATTACTCCAAACTTACAGTTCCTTTGACTGCCACATCAAGGTCTGCATCATCAAAGACAAGGCAGGGTGCATTGCCACCAAGTTCAAGAGATACCTTGAAGAATAAAGATCAACAGAGATCAGCTACGTGATGATTTTCCAGAACCATCCTGTTTTAGCATAAGTATCCATTCTACATGCCATCCATACCTTTTTAACAGTTCCAGCGGCACCAGCCATTAACTTCTTCCCCACTGCTGTTGAGCCTGTAAATGTGATCTTTCTTACCTGAATTGTCACAAATATGGGAGTTCTTAAAACCATTTCCCTCACAAACAGCTTGTCTCTAGAAGGAGATCAAAACACAGTTTCGTATGGCAAAGGGATTTGGATGAAAGGGTAGATAACCTGTGTACTTGAAAGTAATGCTTCACCAATATCAGGAGCATTCCCCATAACCACATTCACAACACCCTAAAGATCATTGAAAATGAAGATCCATTAGAAAAAGGTCAAGAATGAAAGAAAAATCTTTAGATATTTCTGAGAAATGAAATAGAAAACAAAGGAACACCAGTACTCATCCAGGGCACATATGGTAAAACAGAAAGCACACTTGACACAAAATATGGTTCTTCAAGTTACAAAAATGGACAGACATTAAAAACTACCATGTACTTGGTCATGCCTTGAAAAGTTTCTAAGCAGTGATCAGATAGGTTTTGAGCATTGGCAGATAGGCTACCTCCATATTGATACTTGATAGCAAACCAAAGACGTCTCCCAGACTAAGAAGTTAACAATCCCCAGAAAATTCTTTTCAGAAGAAGGAAAAAAAAAATCTAAATCTTCACAACTTAAAAAAAAAAAAAAATCATGATTTGGCTAGGGAGTACCCTTGAATTCGTTTCTAATGTCAATTCTTTAACCTATTATTACAAGCAAAGATACCATCGGAATTCATCAAAATAAGGCTATATTAAGGAACAACAAGGATTCTTAACTTTGTTTCCCAGCTTAAAGATGTAGCAGAGGTGATTTGCATCTCTAGGATACACAAACAATCAAAAAATTACTTCTTATCAGTTTCATTCAAGATTACATGCCAATGCACTGAAACAACAGCTTAGTGCACTACTGAAATGCTCTCTAAAGAAGTTTTAAATTGTAAAGAACCACCTGAGGAATTCCTGCTTGAAGGGCAAGCTCAGCTGCTGCTAAAGCTGTGAGGGGTGTAAATTCAGAAGGTTTTATAACCACAGTACAGCCACAAGCAAGAGCAGGGCCAACCTGATACGGTCATGAAAAGAACATGTCAGTGTTAGCATGAAAGACACATCTAACAGCATACATTTTCTTATAAAAACTTAATCACAATACAAAACAATTGGGCAGAAAACACTGAATAGCACCCACCTTTCGAGTTATCATGGCTAAGGGAAAATTCCAGGGAGTGATTGCACCAACAACACCTACAGGCTGCCAAAAAAGAAATGAAGAATAGCAATATATGGGACAGAGAATCAAGAAATCTCAAAAAGACTGCATTAAGAAGTTTGTTGGACCGTTCTGTAAACCTTTATCATATAAGTAGCCTGACCTAGAGTTAACAATAAAAGGCTAAAATCATTTATGATTGATGCGCATTGCAGAATAAGTCAGAAGGTCTATATCCACTTTTTTTTTTCTTTTTTTTTTTGAATTAGTCCACATTTTTAAATATGTTAATCCTCAATGGGGGAAATTACACAAGTTATTTAAAAGAGTAACAGGAGTCACACATTGGAAGCAGTAATTAGCTTGCAAGATGCAGTCGTATGGGAATTTAAAACCAAATACATAATACATCCCTACCTGCTTTAGTACAACCAACCGACGGTCAGACGAAGTAGCTGGAATTACGTCTCCATATACACGTTTTGCCTCTTCAGAAAAAAATTCAATAAAATCAGCCCCATAAGTTACCTGAGATCGAAGTCATTATGTCAAAAGTCACAAATACGTTATGAAAACCAAGAGAGCCTGTGGATTAAAATAAGAAGTTTTAAAAATTACCTCACCCATGGCATCTTTTAGAGGTTTTCCTTGCTCCAATGTTATTAGCTGTGCAAGTTCTTCCTTGTGGGTCATCAATAGATCATACCTGTTACATGTGAATGTGAAACAAGTATTATCTGAGATCTGTAATAGATAAAGACAAACTTTCTGTAGAACCAAAGTTCATAATCCATGTTAAAGCATGGTAGTAGAATGAAAATAATGGAAGATATTCTGGATAATAGTCATTTAGATGGGACATGTATTGAAGCTTCTATGCTATATGCATTTAATATCAATAGCAACCATTTACAATTTGACACTGGAAGACAGCACCCCCTGGCTTCAATAAACTATGTATGGGCATATTACTTTTCAATCAAGTGATAATTTCTAATTTCTACAAGAATACATACAAAAAAAGGCCATCAGAAAAAGATAATACCACTCCCTCAGGTATTTGCTCCTTTCAGCAGCAGTAAGTTTGCTCCAAGCTGCACATGCATAAGTTAAATCAATTCAAATCATTTGAAGTGTAAATACGTTTTATAACCCCCGGCAACCTATTACCAGCATCATGCATGAATAGCAACTAAAGGTATATTATGTTTAAGAAACTAAAGACATAGCTGTATACAAGGGAAAATAGTATATGTATAGGATTCAAACCATACCTATGTTTAAGCAGTAAAAAAATAACAGGTCCAATGGTACATAATGAATGTATTGAAAAATCTCATCAGAAAACATAGATAACAACATAATTATAATGAGAAGCACTTTGAAGTCTCATACAATTAAAAGCATCATAGGCAGACGATATTGCATCATTTGTCTCCCTTTTACCCATGTAAGGAACCTCTGCTATTATTTCCCCAGTTGCTGGGTTGTTAACCTGCAATAAGACGAAATATTAGAAAGCAATAACAGAGAGACATACACCAACGAATGTGACACCCTATTGTTCCCAACTCTTCTCATTTGACGAGATAAAAGTAGAGAGATTACAATTAAGCACAAAACACAAATTACTGACAAGGTCACACACATCCACCATTAATAGAAGATTCCTAATCTCATGCCGACAGACATCCAAACCAAGAGTTTTAATTAATTAAAGCACTAGCTTCTGGTGCATGCTTAACATTAACATCTTCAATATACATAGTTAATAATCAAAAATGGGTAACAGGCAACCAGACATGAAAAGAAACTCGAAAAGAAATTTCCAAGACAATCTTTTTGTCAAACCTTGATAGTCTTCCCATCGTAAGCATCAACCCATTTTCCTCCAATTAGACCCTGGGTGCGAAAAAGACCTGAATTTTGAATCCGAGTAGCAATACTCTTTGTCTCCATCCTTATCTGAAATCCAATTTCTTAATTCAGACAGGTATTCACTGCCAAACTAGGCAAATGAAAATTTCCACAAATACACAAATCACTGAGAAGAAGAGCAACTAATCACAACCAAGTAACCAACTTTAGGCAAAAGGGGTTGGTTTTGTACTTTTTGCTGCATGCAAACAAAGAATATCAAATAAATCTCTATAGCAGATATCTGACAGTAAATTTGATGCGAACCCAATTAAATACTAAGAATGGCATCAAATATGAAGATAATAGAGAACTCCAAAAAAACTACCATTCCCAAAACATATTTTCGGAGATGAAATGTTCCCCTTTTCCACTACCAGATGGCAGTATAATAAAGGTTAAAACTTTGTTGAGGACTTTGTAATTTAGAACCTAAAAGTCACTCAATACACTCAAGCTCATTCCGAATTGTAAAACAAACAACAATTATACCGCAAAAAAAAAAAAAATTTTCAAAATTCAAAAACCAGGAAAGGCATAATGAGCATCAACTACTAGTACAAAACTAGACAAAAAAACCGATACATTGAAGAAGATTGATTGATTCGGGCGTGATTATGAACTGCTCTGCTGGCATACGCAAAGAACCTACGGACTACGAGGGAGCAGGCAGTCAATATATACAAGGCGTACGGACAGAGAGAGCGAAGGTGGAAGTGTTACTTGGCGAGAGGGAGTATGCATGGCAGCCAGATGGGAAGAAAGAGTGTTGCTAAAAGCCACTCGTACTACCGTCATTCTCCGGGCGCTTCGCCGCCTATCTCTCCGTCTCTACGGTGCTGCCGAATGGCACTGCTGCCGCTGGTTAATTATTAAAATATTTACTGCTAACTGAGCACCCTCTTTGGTCGTTTTCTCCCAGCCTTATTTTTTGCCAAACGCAACTGGTAGCCCTTTGTTTTTCAACAATTTTCGGATTAGGCCTTTAGATTACATTTTATTCGATTAAGCCCTCAATCAACCCAAATTTATTTTGTTGGGACATAAAGACTATGGATTAAAACTTGGACCGGCTAAGAGAGAATAGAATAATAGATAACTCTATTGATTGTTTTAGGGCACTTTTGGAACTACGGTTAGGAGTTATTTTGTGTAGTTATACAGCGTTTTTAGATAGATATATATATGTTTAGTAAATTTTTTTTAAATTATTTTTTTTTTAAAGTTACAAAAAATCAAAGCAAATCTGCAGTAATTTTATATAAAAAACTAGAAGTCTCATTTTGTAATTTTTTAGTTGTGGTTTTTACGAAAAACACCTAATATTTAATATAATTGTAAATTTACCTATTAAAACCCAATTTCGTATAATTTAATTACATTATAATTTATAATATTTTAATAATGATAACAAATTTAAAAAACTTAAATTATTAAAAAAAAGTAAATATTATTTATTTTAATAATTATATATTTTACAATATTTTACAATATTTTTCAAATTTTAATTAATAATTAATAAAATTTATCATATTTCATCCATAATACTTTTAAGAAATAAATAATCAAACACCCAAATAACTTTTAGTTACAATTACAACATAATACAGTTTAGTACAATCACAGTACTTTACAATAATCTCAAACACATTCTTAGTCAACCTAACTTGAGTTTGCTTAGCTTTATAAATATTTTTTTATATATAAAAAAAATGATATGTGAAAAGTTAATTATTTGGTGTTACAAGAATTTAAATATATTATCTTAATTCAAATCAAGATTTTGAATGTAGTATGTATGATAATTGGTTAGTTTGAAATGGATTTTTAGCATAAGAAAGCTGTTTTGTAAGTTTAGCCTACAACCAAGCCTAAAACAATGACTATTGATAAAGAATAAATCTCTCTACATTTAAGGAGTTATGTTCTTTATTAATAGTTATAGAATTTTTTTAACATCTACTTTAAAAGGCATATATGTTGAAAGAATAAAAATTACTATAACATTTATTTTATTAATTATTTAATTAAATTTATTAAAATAATAATATTATTAAAATTAATATTAATTTTTATATATTTTTATATAAATTTATAATGAAAAACATTATTAATTTATGTTTTAAGAATACAAATTAAAAAATATAGAAATGTAGGAGGTGTAGTTCACCCAAATTTTCAAATAACATTTTTTTTGAAATATTTTGATTTTTTTTTCTTGCTTATAGTACCACACAACTTTTTATTTACTTGCTTTAATTAATTTATACAATATTAATTAGAAAATTAAAAATATAAATAAAAATCAAAACCGAAATACCAAACCGACCCGGTCCAAGTCGTGCCCAACTAACCGTGTTTTCTTTTCTTCTTCTGTTTCTACTCGTCTTCCCTTGACCCTTTTGCCTCAGCTGTCACACAACCATTTATCTCTGGAGAATGAGAATGCCACGCCCTCCATCTCCATTGTAGAGAAGCTCCCCATTCCTTTCCCTTTTCCAAGTCAAAATCCAAACAATTATCAGCATATACTTTCTCTCTCTCAAGAACGTTTCTTTTCCGTCGGAGTCCCAAAAATTTGGTTTAGTTTTGGTTGGTGGGCATAGTAATCTTCAGCAGCTTGGAGTTTTCTGTGTTTCTTGAGGTTTTCTGCTGTTGGGTTTCTCTTTTAGGTTGGCTTTTGGCAGTTACGTTACTTATTTTGGGGAGAAGAAGAAAGAAACTGACTTTATTCAGATGAGTGCAAACATGGCATCATCAAGCGCCGGAGGTCCTGGATCGGGTGATGCAGCGCCTCCAAGGAGAAATTCCAAGCGACCCAAGTGTAATCTCTTATTCTTCTTGCTCTTCTTTCTGTTGGTTCTGTAGTTTCTGGTACCTTCTTTTGATCTACCCACTTGTTATTTGAGCGGTTAATCTTTATATGGTTTTACTTTCCCGACTTTTCTTTCTTTGTTTCTTGGAGTTCCGAGACTAATTATTTGTTCTGTGCGTAATATTCAAGGATTTTCCAATTTGATTTGTAGCTATACCTCACATAAAGTAATTATCTTGGGACAAATTTAAATGAATTTTTTCTTTACGTGGGGTGTTGATTTTGATTCGAAACCACAAGATTTGTTAAATTTTCATCATTTTGATTCTTGAGTGTTTTTGTTGTATTTTGACTTAATGTCTATTTTAGAGCAGTAGATTTGTTGCATGTTGGGACCAATTCATGGATGTTGAAACCTCAATTACATGCGTATTAGAAGCATTTGTTTGCAGAACCTATAACTCTTTGCACTCCGTTTGTAGACTACTAAGAAAGACTTCACTCTTGTAATTGCTATTCTCCTTTTTCAGATTCAAGGTTTACCCAACAGGAGCTCCCGGCCTGCAAGCCAATTCTCACTCCTCGATGGGTAAGCCATTGTGATTTCTAATGCACACAAACTTTTTCCTTGGCAATTTCATTAGCACCCTGGAGGAAATTTTATGTGGACATTTCTTTTCTGTTTCTGTAGGTGATTTCAGCCTTTTTGCTTGTCGGCATTGTCTTCATTCCGATTGGAGTTATTTCCCTGTTTGCTTCTCAAGATGTATGCTGACCACTTTCTAAACAGCTTACATTTTCTTTTTCAGTGTCATTGGTAATTAGCTACAAATGCTCTTCCTTCTTATCAGGTTGTTGAAATTGTTGATCGCTATGATTCTGTTTGCATACCAAAAAACTTTACAAATGACAAGGTCAAGTACATACAAAGTCCTGGAAGCAAGCCACCATGCCACAGAATATTGAATGTAAATTCTTCCTTAAGAATTCCAGTTATTACTATTGTTATGATTATATATATATATTGGGGGGAGGTGTGTATGTGTTAGTATTCTTCTTCATCTCCACTCAGGTCTTCCCTTGTTAGCAATAAACTCTTTTCTCTTTTGGTTCTTGATAAATTGAAGGAGTAAACTCTTAAACCATGATTAATAAGCCTATTTTTACTAAATTTTTATTTTGCTTTATATTGGACCTCGTTCTTTTTGATTAATGGTATGGTGATAAATATACAAATACCTCAAGCAAGAATGAATCAAATAACATCAAATACAAATTTGAGCTATTACCTTTGGTTATGGGATGCATTCTCTTTTGCTTGCCTTTATGGATGAGATAGGATTTGAGAGAACTGATTAGCATTTATGTCCTGGTATTACATGGAAACTAAATGTATCAATCTTTTATGTTTCTTATTGTTGCAAGGTAACAAAGCACATGAAGCAGCCTATCTATGTCTATTACCAGCTGGACAACTTTTACCAGAATCATCGAAGGTATATCTCGTGCACCTTTGTCATATATTCTGATGCAGTCAGTTTCAAGATGAATCAGCATGCCATGGACCATGGCTTTGCATATCCTTTATATGTTCTTTTACTTCTATTTCGTTGAATGGATGCTTCCTGTTTTAAATACAATATGAATGGAAATGGGTTCATTTTGGGTGATGGCTTGCATGATTCAGGTATGTGAAGAGTAGAAATGATAAGCAGTTGAGAGATCCATCTAGTGAAAATGATATTAGCGGTTGTAAGCCTGAAGATTCCAATAGTAGGGGTGTAATTGTGCCTTGTGGTCTCATAGCCTGGAGTCTGTTCAATGACACCTATAATTTCTCCCACAACAACCAGCAGTTGAAAGTGAACAGGAGGGGTATCTCATGGAAGAGTGATAGAGACCACAAGTTTGGCAAAGATGTTTTTCCTAAAAACTTTCAGAGTGGAGGCCTGATTGGTGGTGGAAAGCTCGCTTATAATGTGTCAGTAAGTTATCACTGTTAATCATTGAATAATTTTCAGTTTATTTACTTACTTATTTTGCACAACAATAGAAATCTTATAATAAATGGTTGGAATATCTGTGTGCTGTTTCAAAGGATAAATCAATTGGTGTAGATTGAGTTGTCACTTTTTTTTCTTTTTTTTTTTTGTGTTAAAACAAATTGAGTTGTTTGATCTGGTTAATTGTATCTCTACGCTCATTCTATTGTGTTTAAAGAACTGAATTTCATCTTCCTTTTTTGTCATTTGATAAGAGCATTTTATGGTCAAAATTTTCCACTATCGTATTGCAAGAGGCTAACCTGGTGAAATATGTTTCCATGGCAGTTAAGCGAGCAGGAAGATCTTATTGTTTGGATGCGTACTGCAGCTCTTCCAACTTTCAGAAAGTTGTATGGGAAGATAGAGGTGGATCTTCAGAAGGGTGATGTCATAAATGTCACTCTGGGTAACTACTACAACACATACAGTTTCAATGGCAAAAAGAAGCTTGTCCTTTCAACTACTAGCTGGCTTGGTGGAAAGAATGACTTCCTTGGCATTGCATATCTCACTGTTGGTGGGTTGTGCTTCTTTTTGGCTCTGTCTTTCACCCTTATCTATCTCATCAAGCCAAGGTAATACGTTTTGATCCATCAAACTTTACATTTTTTTTCCTGTTTAGCTTACTCTGATGAGGTTATATAGAGAACATAACTAGTGAATACAGATGTCTGCCATCTGCTGTCCTACAACGTGAAATAAGTCCATTCAATTCAATTTGTTTACAGTTTTGAAATCCTTTGGTTGTGGGATTGATTGTGGAACCCTTCAATTGAACAGCCAACCATGCATTTGGTATGTATTAACAGGGAGAACTAGGTGAATTAGGAGTTTGATTAAGGAAAGTAGGTCTCTCATTAATGTATACATGAATCTGACCTCGCAATGATGGAAAGTAGGTTACTTGGAACATGTTTGATTGATGGAATATCTGCACCAATTTCCTTCTAATAAGTTAGAAGAAGGGAATAGCTAATGACAACTCCTACATTTTAGTAATTCCTTAATCATGGAATACCCATTCCTCTTATGCCATGCTCTCTATCCAATTTACCATATAGCTTGAGTGAGGAGAGCCACTCCATCCACAACCAAACATGACCTTAAGGTTGATCAAAAGTCATTGGGAGTTGTAATACATATTCCTTCAGTTGGAGCAGATGATGGTATTCCAACCATGTATTAAATACGGTGATAGTCAGTTAGGGTGACGCTACTGTGGCTCTGACACTCTACAGTGGCATTGTTTCACAACTTTGTAGATGATTAATGTCCAAAAAACAACCTAGTTGATGATTATTAAGCACTAGATCTAGAATCATGTCCAGCTATGTATCTCAGTTATTTACTGGAAATGGAGGAATCTAACTTTCAAGTAATCTGTATTTGGTTTGCCTGATTTATTGTGTACGCTTTTTCAGGCAACTTGGAGATCCTACCTTCTTGTCATGGAACAGAGGCCCGGGAGGGCACTAAACTAAGCAAGCTCATGGAATTGGAACCATATATCATGGCAGTAATTTTAGGTGTTAATATTTAAAGTGGGAAGCTTGAAGGACACAACAAATTGCAAGTGACTATTGTGGTGTTGAATTGCGCTAAAAGCTAGACATCAGTAAACTAGTAATTTCAGTATTGTCTAAGAGCAAGTTCAGTTTCTTTTTGTCACCTAACAAACAGAAATTCTAGATGTATGTACTTTTTTCATTTCTATGAATTATTATGATTTTATATCACCCTTAGCAGGATATTGGAGAGGTAGGCACCTTCTGGGTAGGATGGATCAATAGGATGATCACAGGCTGCTCCTGCTTGTCTCAGGACTGTGATTTTCCTCCCTGTCATTGATGCAGCACCCTGATTGACAGAGAACTATGTTAATCACTAAAAAAAATGTTGACATCAACAAATATGGAAGCAAAATACATGAGCACCCTGTAAAGAAGAGGAGTACCAAAAAGCTTGAAAAAGGAGATTTTTTTGGGTCATGACTAGCAAAACAACTACTGTATTCATGATGCCATTCTAAAGCCGGGATAAAACAGATACCTGGAGAATTCGCAAGAACATCCCACTCTGTGTCATAGCTCCTGAACATGAGCAGGTCATGAGAAGGCCACCTCTTTTTGTCAATTGCATTGCTAATGAGTTTAAATTTCTGTACATGCCTGATGCACTATGTAGAACCTGGAATAAGCAATTATCATTGGGCATTGCACAAATAAAATGCAAAAAATCACAAAAAGACGGACATAACACTTGGGGACATCCAGATGATGTCTTAAACAGGTATTAAAATATTATAAACCTTACAAAGATCATGTTAAATAATAAGATTCGAATAATCGTGGAACCATTTCAAAATGCACATTATGTTTTAAAAAAGTACGTAGATTTTGGACTTTCCCTCCAGAGATACCCACGCAAAGAATTGGTTATGAAGCACAACTACTTTGAGACTTAATCATAGGGTTAGGGCCATCATAGATCATAGTACTTATGTTTTATAATAAGAAATTACATTTGTAAGTAAAAGGACATTCACTTTCTATGGAGATAATACTTAAATCATAAATGTATGTTAAATACCTTTCTACTTGGCGCTAGCTTAGGAGGATCCAGTATTACCATATCCCACGTTTCATTTCTAGAAAGAGCACCTTTCATGAATTCAGTTGCATCTTCCTTTAGAAATGATATTCTTCCTGGATCCATACTGTTAAGAACAATATTTTCTCTAGCAAGCTCCAGAGCAGGCAATGATGAATCAACACCTGACAGATAATGTCGGGGATTTAGACAAATAAAATTCTGAAGATACATTGAGCCTCTAGAACCAACTTAAAAGTGTATGACTTTGTTTGAGTAGGCTTTATGAAAACATACAAGGGGAAGGTTTTAAAAGCCGTTGGGATTGGCCACATGAATCCTTTTCCTCTACTCTTCCTACTCTTGCCACTCTGCCTAGAGATGTTCAGATAAAAAGCCCTTCCCTTCAACACAAATAAGACAAATATATAGGATTGTGCCTAAAATATTTAGTTTATTCCTTCCACCAGTTCATGATGCAGGGCTGTAGCTTGTTCTATGATCCATTGATCCCATAACACTAGTACATAAAACTTACAAATATTGTAAGTGATAGATAAAGCTCATAAGCAGAATCTTTGAAGAAATTGCATTCCCACCAATGCTTGGTCCTGACAATTCTGATTCACAAATTTTGAACAAAAAAGCATCTTTTCATAAGAAATTCCATTAGTCACAATTACTAGTTTTCCATAGAAGTCCCAAGAAACAATTTACATCATCTATCAGCCATTATTTATGTATCTTATTGTCCGTCCAAGTGTGTGTTTAATTGACAAAGGCAGCAGTACGAATTTTGGTAACCCAATACAAGGAATTAAGTGGTGGGGAAAGGCTCCTACGAATATTAGTGGCTAAACAAAGAGAAAGGAGCATTTGGTAGCAGTGAAGACATACCAGTGACATTAACAGCACCTCCCCTCGCTGCACTGAGAGCAAAACCACCACTGTAGCAGCAAATATCAAGAACATTCTGACCATCTGAAATTGTTGATATGAACTGACGATTCTCACGTTGATCAGCATAGAATCCTGTCTTTTGGCCCTCAAGTGAGATAGAAAAAAATATCCCATTTTCCATGACCTGGAATAAAGTAGCAAAATTGCATGAGAATTATCTTTAACCAGCATCATAAAAGTGAAATCCAATGGCTCAAAGAAGGCAGTCAGGAAGGCATTTCCAACTCAATATAAATAAGAATGCAGAGAAAGGAAAGTGGAACTTAATAGTTCTCTTTATTTCATAAATTGGAAAAAAAATCTTTGATGGACAATCCTCACAGATTGACTGGAAACCAGATTTTGGAAGCAATGGATTAATTATTTTGTAAATTTTTATGCAGGAAACGAAGAATTAACCTATGGGTGTGTTAGTGTAGTATAGCAAATTAAGAATTTTTCCAAACAATCATTCTTATTGGCTGAGTCATTGAAAGGACACATCTCACAGCAGCTGGAAGCCACTCTCAGATAAAAATATTATCCTAGATTAAAGGCTTTAGGCAGACTCTACGAGAAAATGCAGAGAAACTCTGTGCAATTTAGCAGTTTTAGGGGCTGTGCAACAAGGGAAGTAATCCATCAAATACATGCATCTTTCCTTCTGCAGAATGCCATATGACTTTGAGAATTTATATGTTGTGGATAAGCAAAGATATCAAGATCTTCAGTTTGCAATATTTGAAGAAATCCTCTTACCTTTGTTCTTTGAGGACAAGTAGAGGGGTGTACATCTTTGAGATCTGATGCATCCATTCCTTCTTCTTTTAAAATTTCAATTGCCGGTCTCCATTTTAAATGATTAATTTCATCAATTCTACCAATGCAAGCTTCTATCTGCGGTTTGTACTTCTCAACCCAAGCAGCAGATGATGCTATCACTGCCAAATCTCCAAAGATATCAACAATCAATCCTGAAAGTCTACGGGGGAGCAGGGCAGTCAATTTGCAAGTATTTGAAATTAGATTCGCGGAAATAAATCTAGGAATATGAAGATGAAATATTGGTGATAAACATGGCGGCAACAAGAAGCTTTAGACTACAAAATGCAGTTTCCCCTAGTTATATGCCTACTGATTTCTGTTTTCTTCTTTTGTCTTACATGTTGGTCCAGCATGTTAGTCTTTATATGATTAAGGCAATGCAAGGATCTAGCTTCTTAGAGTTCAATTTTATGCCGAAAGTGAAAACAAAAGTTAATTACTTTGATTTAGTCATGAGTTCACAAACTGCCATGAAGAAAGAATAACATTCCACAACTTTCTTGTACAACTCCATGTTTGCACATAAATGTTCACTAGCACCATGCCCTCCTATTATTCAAGTAAATTTAAACAGTAGTGTATATTGGTTCTCATCCACTGATTAGATACACTGAAAACAATATCAATAAAATATATGAATGAAGATTATATACCTGTCACCTTCACTGTTAACAAGACGATATGCATTGGTATTGGCTGAAGGAAGCCCCAATCTTTGACGTAATTCTATAGCTGCATCAATTCTTGTTTCAAGCAGCTTCTCCATGTTCAGGGCGCAAGAAGGATCTCTGCACCATACATCTTATGAGCTTAGATGCCTCAGGGAGGTAATAAAACCAAACTTTAAGGCCCTTTTTTGGAAAACTACCTCGCTGCTTCCTCTTCTAGCTGCATGAGCCGAACACAAAACATAGATACTGAATTATACAAGCCCCATCCAATAGGTTTCTCTGTCCCATCAGCTACCAGCACGATATCTCCAGTCTTAGGTGGTGGCCTACCAATGATTCTATCAACTGCACCACTGTAGACCATTGGGTTGCCATCCTTAAAGAGTTGTGTCTTCCCCTTTTTAAGAACAACCTTTGCAACACCTATCAACCCCAAAGACACAAAAGACAGCAATCTTGGATAAGCCATGGGAATCAACAATATAAACATCAGAGCAAGTGTGAGAATGACGTGATGCTATTTTTACCAACATCAAAATAACTCGATGATAATAAACAGACTCAAAAGAAGAAAACTAATAACAATGTAGAGAAATTCAACTATCCTACTGCAATTGCAAGCCGATTAAACAGAAAACAGAAGACCCCTACAGAATATCACTTCCAAGTTATAACAAAGTGAAATAAATAAAAAGACTACAACTTTAATTCAACCAAGATTGCAAATTCAGGTTGACCCACTAAAGAAAGCACAAGATATTCACTCTGCATCTAATAATAGCCAAAACATAAGCTTGAATCTTCACAGGTACCCATGACAAAAACCCAGTACCACCCTTCAAAGAACACGCTACAATCATACATCAATACCTTTGAGGTGAGAAGAAGCAGAAGCAAAATGGCGAAGCGTAGAGGTGGAGGCGGTGATTGCTGATAAGGAAGAGAGATAGACAGGCCTCATGAGGCGGCCTGGTAGTTGCTGCATGTTTCGTTGAGATTGTGCACTGTGTAGCGTTCTGCTAGACTCAGGACTCGGGCGGTTCTTTTCTCGGCTCAGGCGGGGTTGTAACCTAGTCGTCTCTAACAAAGTTAACGGTTTCCCTCTAATTTTCGCAAATTTCCCCTATTTGGACTTTGGAGTGAATTTGTTACTACTTTTTGTATGAGGGTGTGTGTGCAACTACTCAATGACTTGGGGGTTTTCCATGAAAATTTTCTGTACTGTTCTGTACAAGGGCGCATGTACAACTACTCTGTGACTTCGAGGATTTTTCCATGAATATTTTCTGGTAATGTCACCTAGTCACACTCATTGTCATCACTTAGAACTTTAGAAGACCTCTGTATGATTTTGTATTGATTCTGTTTATTTATTTATAAGGATTTTTTTTAATTTATATTTTTTTAGAGTTAAAGTTAAAAATATATTTTTTTAATCTTAACTCTTCAATTTAATAGTTTAATTACTTTAATATATGTATATTTGACTTTTTAAATTAGATTTGATTTCTTTTACTCTTAACTTGTAATTTGTTTAAAATATATATATTTATAATCAATTTATATTAAAAATTAATTTTAATTTTAATTTTAATTTTATTATTATATAAAAAATTTAATTAAGTAATTAATAAATTAAACGTCATTTTTTATTTTTCTGATACTCTCGACCTATGAAAGGGAAAAAAAAAATGAGTTGATGCAAAACAGAGGTCCATCCATAGTGAAAGACCCAATATTAGAGGTCTTATTTTTATTCACAACATGTTGGATTCGACAGAAATAGATTATAAGGAAGACGCTCCGACGAGGGAAGCTGGGAAGGGATAAATGCAAAGGTTGGTGAGCATTGTTTTGTAGTTAAACTGCCTTTACCCGGCAGTGCATATACTTATTGTTTGATTCCAATGAGCAATCACTTGTCCTTTGTGTCTTTCTTACTCCCCCTCAGCTACTTCCTTTCCTGTATTACTTTTTATACTTCATTCATGCTGTTGCAAAAATGTCTGAATGTTCTGATTGTGCCAAGTCATGTCTCTCTTCAACCCTCATACTACTCCCAGTCCCAGGCGCTCCATTTCTGTGTCAGGTAGCTCTCTCTATCACTAAACTTTTATGGGTTGACCCTTTACTTTTCTGAGTTGGTGTGGAGAAATTGGAGTACTCTAGAAGAACAACTGACCTCTCTAGCTCTTAGTGAAATCTTTTTGGGTTCTCTGTTTCTTCCACCATGACCACGTTATGATGCATTGCTGAAATCATGGGTTTCTTCTTTCTTGAGATATTGGCATCATGCTCGTCCATAAGATCAAGCTTATGGACATGTTATGTAGGTGAATTTCGGATTATGTCTTTCCATGATAATAGCATACAAAATTATGGATGTCATTTTGTGTCAATGCATGTCCTTGTGCGGATACTCAAAAAAGAAAAACCTATATTCACAATCATTCTAACTACAAAAGTCAGTTGCAATTTTATGCATTACAAGCGCAATGCTCATGTTTCTTTTGCCCTCTGTGTAACTTATACTATTTCTATTTTCTTATAATTGTTTTGTTTTTTCCATTATTTCATTGATTAACCTTGGTTGCTTTTAATCTCTATTTTTGTGTCTTCATCCATTTGAGGGACAACAGCCATTGTCTACCCTAGATCAAAGTTAATGATAGATTCCAACACCAACAATTTGGTATGTGAATCTTGCTGCTTTTTCTTGCTTTTCCTTAAATTTTCATGTATATGAAAAAAAAATTAACAGTCATGCTCTCGAGTCTTAATGTTGCAGTGCTTTGAGGAAACTAAAGAAAGGATTAAGAAGATGTTTGATCAGATTGATCTTTCTGTTTCCCCTTATGACACTGCTTAGGTAGCAATGGTTCCATCCCCAAATTCCCCACAGACCCCTTGTTTCCCTCAGGGCTTATATTGGTTGTTGGATGATCAACTATATGATGGCTCCTGGAGTCTTCCTAATCGCCATCCCTTGTTAACTAAAGATGCTATATCTTCTACATTAGCATGTGTCCTTGCACTGAGACAATGGGGTATTGGTGAGGAACAAATGGAAAGAGGTTTTTTTTTTTCCTCAAGTTATTTTTTTCAGTTTTCTCCGCCAATGTAGTCTGGATAAATAAATTTCCTATTTTTTCCCCTTTTTCTGCAGGCCTCCAATTTATTGAATCAAATTTTGCTTCAGTTAAAGATAAGAATCAATATACTCCTATTGGATTTGAAATAATATTTTCTGCTATGATTGAATATGCTAAAGATTTGAATTTGAACCTCCCTTCGAGATCAACAGATAGAGATGCTCTGCTCCCAAAAAGAGATTTAGAGGTTAGAAGGTATAACTCTATTTATATCTTCTTCTTTTCTTGGTATTTACTTTTTGCTTTCAATGACTCCAACAAATTTATGATCTCAAGTTGTGGCGCGCAAGCCAAACTGACTGGAAATTAACTCAACCAATGTTTTTATGAGCCATTTGGAAAGTGAATATTTATTTGAAATCTTGTAAATCAGCTGTAGATTCTGGTCTTTGAATGCTTCTTGCCTTAACATTATACATTTCATTTCTTTATTTAGCATCCATAAAGAAACATCAGATGGAAAGAAAGCCTACCTAGCATAAGTTTCAGAAGGCATTGGAAAACTTCAAGACTGGGAAATGGTCATGAAGCATCAGCGGAAGAATGGATCGCTATTCAATTCACCATCAATGACGGCAGCTGCTCTTGCTTACCTTCAGAATGATGCTTGTCTTTATTACCTCCATACAGTCCTACAAAAGTTTGGAAATGCAGGTCATGTCTCCATGTTACTCTGTTGTTTCATATTATTTTTGTTACATCCATCTAATACTAAATTGCTGTCTCATATGCTATTCTTTTTCAGTTCCTACAATTTATCCTTTCAATATACATGCTCATCTTTGTATGGTGGAGACTGTTGAAAGTTTGGGAATCAATTGGCATTTCAGGGAGGAAATCAATAATGTATTGGATGAAATATACGGGTAAGGTTACATTTGCAGATATATATGTTGGGAAGTAACTTTTTGAAGACTGAAATTGTAATAATTTAACAAAGTTTCCATTATATCTCTGCAAAAGTTATCCCATTCCTGTTAAAAATTCATTGGTCATCCCCAGAAAATATAATGGTAACCCACATACAGATGCTGGCAGCAGGGACAGGAAGATATATTTTTAGATCTGGCCACTTGTGCAATGGCATTTCAGATAGTACGCAATAACAGATACAATGTCTCTTCAGGTATATTTTAGCTTCAGGAGATTTGGTTTTTGAATGATTTCAGGATATAATCCTAATTATTAAAGATTTTCTGGGTTATCATGTGTTGTAGAACTATTAACTCAATAGGCTGAAGAACATTGCTTTGATGCCTTTGGAGGATATACGGACATAGATGCTGTCTTAGAGTTATTCAAAGCATCACAGATGACCATAAATCCAGATGAACTAGTTCTCCTAAAACAAAACTCATGGACAAGTAACTTTTTGAAACAGGAACTAACCAAGGCTTCTGATCATGTAGATGGACTTGGGAGACATATTAAACCAGAGGTCATTTTTTCTGATTTAGTTTTCTTTCCTTCTTTTCATTTTCATTTTTGTATCCGTGCTTAATTCAATTCCTGGAGAATGGCTATCTTTCATAATTTCAGGTGAATGATGCTCTTGAATTTCCTTAGCACACAAGAGGAACATAGAAAATTATGCTGTTGATCAAATAAGGGTTCTGAAAACTTCATACTGGTATTTCTCTGTTAATTAGTTCATTTTTGCCTACATCCTCTTAACTATAAAAGTTTTAATCTAACTGGTGATTTACATCTTTGGTTGGCATGTTACTAATGTATCATTTATTCTTCAATTGCTAGTTCTTCAAATATTGGGAACAAAGATTTCTTAAAGCTGGCAGTGGAAGCGTTCAATACATGTCAATCAATATACCAGGAGGAACTATAACACTTGAAGAGGCAATTGTTTCTACAAACATTCTTAGATCATGACAAGAATTTCCATAGAAATATCCCTGAGATCAGGTTCAATTATTGTCTTGTTACTAAAAAAGTAGGCCACTCAGATCTTGAGTCATTCAAGCGTGGATATTGCTAGCATTGGAGTGAGTCATGACGTTGTGTCTGACTTTGCATATGTCCTTGTTTCAGACCAAAGAGTATTATCCTCTATAATGCTGTATAAAAAACTGAATGAGATTTCTATGTCAATAATGTGATGCCTCTTGTATGCAACAGCAAGGAAAAAGAGAAAAGATTGGACAAGCTAAAGTTCGCCAGGCAGAAGATGGCTTACTGTTACTTCTGCACATAATTACGTCTGCCTTTGCATGATTTAAAGAAACTGTGATTCAAGCACAAGATTGTGGTCATCATAACTTCACATTTTTCAGCCCCTACCCTTGCCCTTCATTGCTGGGGAGGGATTGCTTATGCTGCAGAGGGTTCTTTATTCAACCAAAGTCCAGATATAATGTTGGCTGGCTACTTTTGTATTGCAGTGGTTGGATGTGCTCTACCCTATGATGCAAGAGGTAAAGTGGTCAAAGAACAAGTCAATACCAACCATGGATGAATACATGGAAAATGGATATGTGTCGTTTGCCTTAGGACCAATTGTCCTCCCAGCACTGTATTTTGTAGGGCCTAGGCTCTCGGAGGAGGTTGTTAAAAGCACCGAGTATAATGATCTTTTTAAGCTGGTTGGCACTTGTGGCATCTTCTCAATGATAGTCGGAGCTTCAAGGTAGATGCTTCAATCTTTAACAGAAAACAAGAGTTCTAATTACAGCTCCTGTCAAAAATTATTGGTCTCAGATTACTGACTAAAATCTTGTTTCTTGCAGAGAGAATCCAAGCAAGGCAAATTGAATGCTGTGCCTTTACGCATGATTCATGGTCCTGCTGATGTTACTGAAGAAGACACCATCAAAGAGATAAATAGTTACATTCATGACAGGACAAGAGAATTGCTAATATTAGATTTGCAAGGAAATGGCAGCATGGTTCCCAGAGCTTGCAAGGATTTGTTCTGGAACTTGTGCAAAGTGATGCATCTCTTTTACATGAAGGATGATGGCTACAACTTCGCATGAAATGATCAATGTTGTTAAAGCAGTCCTGCATGAACCCATTTCCCTTAATGAACTTGAACTAAGAAGAACATAATTTCCTTTTCTCAGATGGTGAAATAGTAAGTGTGCTTTAATATATTTGTCTGTGGATGCTGCTGCATGCTGTCAGCAGTTCAGACTGCTCGAGTCTGAAGAAGATGTTTAATTGAAAGAATGATTGTTGTTTGATCAAATTCTCAAAATTAAGCTAAATTAAAGAGAAAATATGACATTTTAGGAATGATTGTTCTGAAAACATGACCCTTTAAATTTTATTTTTGTCCCTTTTTCGTTACAAAAAATTTATTAAAAACTTTTAATTAATACTAGCATCAAATGGAAACAAAATATTTACTCCCTCTTTCAATTTTAACCGGCTAAAATTTTAATTTGAAATGTTTAAATTTAGGCTCAATTTACTATAGTTTTGGCTTTGAATTTTTATTTTAAATATATTTAATAATTATATTTAAAAATTAGAATTTATTATAAAAATTCAGATTTATTAAATTTAATTTGAATACAGTTCTAGTTAAATACTAAAAACTCAAAATCATAATTATATAGTACTGATCTTTAATTGTTTATTTTTTAAGATATCATTTAATATAATTATTTTTATTTTATTTTTATTTAAAAAATAATTACAATATATAGTATTAAATAAAAAGACTTATTTAAGTAGTAGCATAACTAATTAAATATAAATATGAAATTTTATTAATTATTTATTTCATCTTTATTTTATTTTATTGGGAAAAAATTAAATCTAATAAAAATTAAATAAAAGGAGTAATATTTTTTTAAAAATAGAAAAAAGTGTGATAATTAAAAATGGACAAAAGTATTATGTGATTAAGGGAGAATAAGTGCCATTTTAGTCATTATTAATTTAGAAAGGAGATACTATATTTGTTTCAAAATATAAATTGTTTGACTCTTTTTTTTTTTTAAGTAAGCTGTAAACGTACTTATAAGTATATTTTATTTTTTATTTAAAAATTAATTAAATAGTAATAGTAACGTGATAAATAATCCTTTTAATTATTTAATTAACTCTTAAATAAGAAAATTAAAAATTTAACACCTTCCTTCAAAATTCATAAAATTTACCTTCTTAAAAAAAAAAATCCTTTCATCGTAAGGATGATAATATAAAAATAATTTTTTGTATTATTTTTTTATATAATTTTTATATATTATTAAATAAATAATTACATTTAATATTCAGAAACCAAATAAATAAAAAAAATTTAATAATTTAAAGTTTTAAACCACAAATAAAATTATATAAAAAAATATCCGACGAGGGAGCGGACAAATGCAAAAGGTTGGTGATCGGAACCGTGCCATGTTTTGTTGTTAAAGTGCCTTTCCCCGGCAGCATTTCTGCCTTGTTGTTCGATTCCACTGAGCACTGAGTTGTCCTCTTCTCTTTCCTACTCCCCCAGGCACCCCCTTTCCTGGATTTTTTTTTCATACTTCTTGCAAAAATCTCTGAACGTGCTGATTACACCATGCCATGTCAGTCTTCAACTTTCATACTATTCCCAGCCCCAGGCGCTCCATTTCTGTGGCAGGTAGCTCTTTCTATCACTCAAACTTTTGTGGGTCGACCCTTTCTCTTTCTGGGTTGGTGGGGAGAAATTGGAGTGTGCGGTAGAACAATTGATCTCTCTAACTCTTAGTGAAATCTTTTTGGGTACTCTGTTTCTTCCACCATGACCATGTTATGATACATTTGAATGTTTGCTGAAATGGGTTTCTTTTTTCTTGAGATTATTGATATCTTGCTCCTTCATATGGTCAAGCTGATGGATATGTTTTTAGCTGGAACAGAAGCAATATAGATGAATTTTGGGTTATGTCTTTCCATGAAAACAGCAAAGGAATGTCATTTTGTGTTGATGCCTGTCGTTTGCAGAAACTCAAATGAAATCTACAGACTGACTACAAAAGTCAGTTGTAATTTTATGCGTTACAAGAACAATGCTTAGCGTTTCTTTTCCCCTTTTGGAACTTATGCTACTGTGTCCATTTTCTTATAATTGTTTTCTTTGTAATTATTTCATTGATCGACCTTGGTTGCTTTTAATGTCTTCCTGCTGTCTTCTTTCGATTTCCGGGGCAGCAGCCATTGACCTTGGATCAAAATCAGTAATAAATCCCACCTCCAATAATTTGGTATGTGAATCTTGCTGCTATCTATAGCTTTGCCTTACAAATTTCATGAACATGAAAGAATTTAACAGTGATGCTCTCAAATCTTAATGTTGCAGTGCTTTGAGGGAATTAAAGAAAGGATTAAGAAGATGTTTGATCAGATTGATCTTTCTGTTTCTTTTTATGACACTGCTTGGGTAGCAATGGTTCCGTCCCCAAATTCCCCACAGACCCCTTGTTTCCCTCAGTGCTTATATTGGTTATTGGATAATCAACTATATGATGGCTCCTGGAGTCTTCCTAATCGCCATCCCTTGTTAACTAAAGATGCCATATCTTCTACATTAGCATGTGTCCTTGCATTGAGGCGATGGGGAATTGGTGAGGAACAAATGAAAAGAGGTATTTTTTTCCCAAGTTATTTTTCTCAGTTTTCTCCACGAGTTTAGTGTGGATAAATAAGTTTACTTTTTTTTTCTCTCTCTTTTTTCTGCAGGCCTCCAATTTATTGAATCAAATTTTGCTTCAGTTAAAGATGAGAGTCAATACACTCCTATTGGTTTTGAAATAATATTTTCTGCTATGATTGAATATGCTAAAGATTTGAAGTTGAACCTCCCTTTGAGGTCAACGGATATGGATGCTATGTTACAAAAAAGAGATTTAGAGCTTAGAAGGTATAATTCTATTTATATATATATTTTTAACCGTTCATTTTTTGCTTTCTTAATTCTGCCAAGTAATGTTCTTTGACACCAACATATTTATGTTCTCAAGTAATGGTGCACAAGCCAAGGTGATTGCAAAATTAAGTTTTTCAAGCTCAGCCAACATTTTTATGAACCATTTAGAAAGTGAATATCTATTTGAAATCATGTAAATCAGCTGTAGATTCCTGTCTCAGAAAGCTTCGTACCTTAACATTATCCATTTCAATTTTTCTTGATTTAGTCTCTATAAAGAAACATCAGATGGAAAGAAAGCCTACCTAGCATATGTTTCAGAAGGCATTGGAAAACTGCAAGACTGGAAAATGGTCATGAAGTATCAGCGAAAGAATGGATCACTGTTCAATTCACCATCCACAACAGCAGCTGCTCTTGCTCACCATCAGAATGATAGTTGTCTTGATTACCTCCATGCAGTCTTACGGGAGTTTGGAAATGCAGGTCAAGTGCCAATGTTGCTCTATGGTTTTCTATTGATTTTTGTCAAATCCTTCTAATACTAAATTGCCGTCTTAAATGATATTCTTTTCAGTTCCCACAATTTATCCTTTCAATATACATGCACGTCTTTGTATGGTGGAAACTATTGAAAGTATGGGAATTAGTCAACATTTCGGGAAGGAAATCAAAAGCATATTGGATGAAGTATACCAGTAAGGGTTTACATTTGCAGATATCTACAATGGATATAATGTGTTTAGAAGTAACTTTTTTGAAGACTGAAATCGTAATAAATTTAACCAAGTTTCCATTATATATCTGCAAAAAGTATCCCATTCCTGTTAAAAATTCATTGGCCATCCCTGGAAAATATAATGGTAGCCAACAAACAGATGCTGGCTGCAAGATGAGGAAGATATATTTTTAGATCCAGCTACTTGTGCACTAGCTTTTCGGATACTGCGCATCAATGGATATAATGTCTCTTCAGGTATATTTTAGCTTCAGTAGTTTTGGTTTTTGAATAATTCCTGGATATGGTCCTAATTATTAAAGATTTTCTGGGCTATCATGTGTTGTAGATGCGTTAGCTCAATATGCTGAAGAACATTTCTGTGGTGCCCCTGGAGGATATATGAACATAGATGCTGCCTTAGAGTTATTTAGAGCTTCACAGATGATCATAAATGCAGATGAACAAGTTCTCTTAAAACAAAACTCATGGACAAGTAACTTCTTGAAACAGGAACTATCCAAGGCTTCTGTTCGTGCAGACGGACTTGGGAAACATATTAAACAGAAGGTTGTTTTCTCTGATAAAATTTTCTTTTCTTTTTTTTTTTTATTTTTATTTTTCCATGCTGAATTCAATTCCTGGAGAATGGCTATCTTTCTTAATTTCAGGTGAATGATGCTCTTGAATTTCCTTACCATTCAAATTTGGAAGCCTTAGCACACAAGAGGAACATAGAAAATTATGCTGTTGATCAAATAAGGATGCTGAAAACTTCATACTGGTATATCTCTGGTAGTTTGTTTCATTTTTTTTTTCTCTTCCCCTTAAATAGAGAAGCCTTAATCTTGTAATTTACATCTGTGGTTGGCATGGTTACTAATGCATCATTTATCCTTCAATTGCTAGTTCTTCAAATATTGGGAACAAAGATTTCCTAAAGTTGGCAGTGGAAGAATTCAATACCTGTCAATCAATATACCAGGAAGAACTAAACCACCTGGAGAGGTAATTGTTTTTACAAACTTTCACAGACCATGATATGATGACGAGAATTTCTATGGAATATCCCTGAGATCAGGGTCAATCATTGTCATGTGTAACTAGAAAAGTAGGCAGCTCAGCAGAGTAAACATTTCCCCTTATGTTATCTTGAATCATTCAAATGTGATGTTTATCTATTTTCATTGTTTTTGGTATTGATGTGACCTTTGTCTCATTTACGTCTGTTCTCATTTCAGCCTAAAGTATCCTTGTCTATAATTTTAAACCAAATGAGATTTCTGTTTTAATAATGTGATGCCTCTTGTATGAAACAGCTGGGTAAAAGAGAAGAGATTGGACAAGCTAAAATTTGCCAGACAGAAGCTGGCTTACTGTTACTTCTCTGCTGCAGCAACCCTCTGCTCTCCTGAACTATCTGATGCCCGTATCTCATGGGCTAAAAATGGTGTGCTTACTACTGTAGTTGATGACTTCTTTGATGTTGGAGGTTCAGAAGTGGAATTGGTAAACCTTATCCAGTTAGTTGAGATGTATGTTTACTTTTCTTCCTTTTCTTTTTATGATTTGTTTGCTTCTGGTGCATCACTTTCTGCTAATATTCTTAATTAGGCTTACCTTTGAGAAATTAGTGGCTTATAAACTATGAAACGCAGGCACGATGTACATGGTGGTATGCATTGTTGTTCCGAGCAAGTAGAGATCATATTTTCAGCACTTTGGAGCACAATTTGTGAGATTGGAAAAGGTGCTATTCCATGGCAAGGACGAGATGTGACCAGTCATGTCACAGAAATTGTGAGATAATATTTTTACTTGACCCTTTTTATTACCAGTGAATACTGAAATCTTTCCTCACAGAATTTAGTTATCTTGCATGTGTTTTTGACCATGCTGCTTTGTTCACCTGCACATTATTACATCTGCTTTAGCATATGGTTTAAAGAAACTGTACTTCAAACACAAGATTATGATCATCATAACTTCACATTTTTTGGCCCCTACCCTCACCCTCCCTTGCTGGGGTTTCACTTGTGCTACAGAAGTTTCATCATTCGGCCAGAGATGGTGTTGACCACTTTTGTGTTGCAGTGGTTGGATTTGCTCCGCTCCATGTTGCAAGAAGCAGAGTGGTTAAGGAATAAGTCAGAACCAACCATGGATGAGTACATGGCAAATGCATACACATCATTTGCCGTGGGACCAATTATCCTCCCTGCACTGTATTTCACAGGGCCTCGGCTCTCAGAGGAGATTGTTAAAAGCCCTGAATATGGTGATCTTTATAAGCTCGTAAGCACTTGTGGCCGGCTTCTCAATGATATTCAAGGCTTGAAGGTAGATGCTTCTTTAGGGAAGGGAATAACAAGCATTAATTGCTACTCTTGTCAAAAATTGTCTCATATTATTTTTTAAAATCTCATGTGTTGCAGAGCGACCTCAAGAAAGGGAAATTGAATGCTGTGCATTTACGCATCATTCATGGTCCTGCAGATGCTACTGAAGAAGCCACAATAAAAGAGATGAGGAGTTACATTCACGACAGGAGGAGAGAACTGCTAAGATTAGTTTTGCAGGAAAATGGCAGCAT